ATTAAGAATACTGCAGATCGCAGCAGAAAAAATTATACTAAAAAATCTTACAGAATCGAATTCTTATTTAGTAATAATACAGAAAAGTTTTGCGAGGCGACTACTGACTAAAAAATACTAATATAATATTATAAATATAAAATAGTATTTATAAAAATAAAAATTATAAGTTTATTAATATAAAGATTAGAGGTCGATCTAAAAATAGACCTCTGCAAGAACTTCCGGCCGAAGTTAGAGTAGATATATAAAATATCGCCTGCAGAAAAAAAAATTCTATAAAATTATTTATAAAAAATATTTATAAAAAAATAAATATAGTATTTTAAATTATTAGTAGACGCACCGGTTTTCTTTATAAAAAAAAAGAATAGTAGCTTATAAGTATATATAAACTATTATAAATTAAATAAATAAACAGTAAAAAATATCTATCTACTACTATAGATTAATAAATACATCGATCAACTTGCAGGGACCCTATAGTTTATATAATTAGACCTATATAAAGCCTATTATAGAATTAGAATTATAGAAAGATATAAATAAAAAATAGTATTCTAAATAAAATATAAATTATTCAAATATTTAATTATACTATTCGGACTGACCAACACATCCGCGGGATTTTAAAACTTTATAAATTTTCTATTTATAAAATATCTAAACAATTTTGTAATTATCTATTTAAATAATATTATAATATACTCGCAGGATCTGAAGATATATAAAATACAGATCTGTAAAGTACTGAAAATACTGTAAGATATAAGATTATATATAAAACTTAATAAATACTGTTTTACAGTAATAAAAATTAATTTTTTAAAATTTCTAATCAGCTGTAAGAATATTTATATAGAACCGGAATGCATTGCAACTATTTGCAATTAACCCGAACTGTAAAATATAAAAAATATTCTAAAGTTTATAAATTTTATAAACTGATACAGATATTTTATTAAATAATACTTATAAATTACAGTACTAATTACAGATCTTACTAAAATATTTTATAAAAAAAAAGAAATTAAATATATTTTTTAATATCCGAAGCCCGCAAGAGCTTTTAGAAGCTGAAGAATATATTTATAAAAAATATAATTATAATATATTTTAAAAAAAAGAATTTTTATAAATTAAGATAGATGTCTCAGTCTTTGCAATTAGTAGAATATTATTATCAAAGAATTAAAAAAACTAATAAAAGCCAGTAGTATTCTATTTATAGAAAATAATCTCTATAGAGCGGAACTATAACATCTATAACTAGAAACTTTTTATAATTATAGAATTATTTAAAAAATAGAGATATTAACTGAAAAGTATAAAATATTTAATAAAAGTAGTAATAGATTATAAAAGTCTATAGTATTTTATAATAAATAAAGAACTCTTACAGAGGCAGATCAGATAAATATAACAGCTTATAGTCTTTAAATTCTTTTTAATATATAAATTAGAATTATAAAATCTAATAGATATACTGTTGCGGAGATCTGACTTTAAGAAGCAGACTGTAAAAAAAAACTGTAAGAAACTAAAAAAAATAGTTTTATAATAATTAAATAATCTTTTAAAATTAAAGAAATAATTATTTATCTATTTAAAACTATAGCCAACTGTGGATGCTGGAATAGGATTATAAAAAATATATTTTTATAAAACTGCAAATCTATAGAATAAATAATCTTATAATACTATAAAAAATATATTAGAAATACAGTTTTATAATACTAAAGTAGAATTATAAAAAATATATTCTTATAAAGCCGCAAATTTATAAAATAAGCAATTTTATAATATTATAAAAAATATATTAGAAGTACAGTTTTATAATACCGGAATAGAATTACAGAGGATATATTCTTATAAAATTATAAATCTATAAAATAAACAATCTTACAATACTATAAAGAATATATTAGAAGTATAATCTTATAATATTAAAATAAAATTATAGAAGATATATTTTTATAAAACTGCGAATTTATAAAATAAATAATTTTATAATATTATAAAGAATACGCTAGAAGTACAGTCTTATAATATTAGAATAGAATTACAGAAGATATATTTTTATAAAGCTGTAAATTTATAAAATAAATAATTTTACAATATTGTAGAAAATATATTAGAAATATAATTTTATAATACCGGAATAGGATTACAGAGAATATATTTTTATAAAGCTGTAAAGAATCTATAAAATAAACAATCTTATAATATTATAAAAAACATACGAATAGAACGGTTTTATAATATTAAAAAAAATTATAAAAAATATATTCTTATAAAGCTATAGAAAATATATAAAAAATATTTATTTATAATACTGTAGAGGTTTTATAAAAGATATACTCTTATGTAATAGAAACTAGAATAATAATTCTTATAAAAATCAGAATCTTTTTAATAAAAAATATTATAAAAAATACTAATTAGATAAATACTTATATAAATATAAAAAAGATTATATAAAAAGAAGATATCTACTGCGAAGATCTATTTATTAATTTATTATAAATATTATCGGTACTGTTAAAAAAAATAATCTTATAAAAAAAATATTCTAAATAAAATAAAAAAAAGACTGCGGGGGCAGTTTATTTTAAAAAAAAAATATCTATAAATAAAGAATTACTTATAGTAGAATATTAATTAAAAACTGCTCTACTTCGCGGAAAGACTATATATTTCGAAGAATTATTAATTAAAATTAAGAATCTTTGTAAAATTATATAATAATTCTATTACAAAGTATTTTATAAAAATAAGAATCTAAAAATTAATTTTATAAAGATTCTAATAGTCCGAACTGGCTAAGTTTATATAGAACTACTACCGTGCGTATAGAATATATTAAAATAGAAGAATAGTCTATAGAAAATAGTAGAAAATATTAGAACTACTACTACCAGCTGTAAGATTTTAAAAATAAATAATTATAAACTTTATTACAGATCTATTTATAAATACCGGAAATAATATAAACTTATAAAAGATTTATAATAATATTATAATTATAATAGACCGGTTTAGTAAAATAGTCTATTTTATTCTTATTTATAAAATACTATTAGAAGAAGAACTTATAATAATTTTTTTAAGAAAATCTTTTAATTATATAATATACCTGCGAAGGTGATTACAGACTGTAGATTAATTTTTATAAAAAACTTTTAATTAGATTTTATTTATATTTTTATAATTAAATAAAACTTAAGCACAGTCTACTATTTATAAATAAATAGCTAAATAGAATAAATAAATAATATATTAGAACAGTACCTGCAAAATTATATAAATTTTAAATAGAATAATTAAATAAAAATACTACTACTTACAGAATTTATTTATAATAATTTTTTATAAATATTAATTAAATACTTACTGTTTTTTATAATAACTGTATAATACCCGCAGATGATAGTACTGGACTTATAAATATTAAATAATTCTATAAAAAGATTAGAACAGTATTTTTAAAAGATTAAAAAAATATAGAAAAAAAATATTTATAAATCTTAAGCTGATTTATAAATATTAAAAAAATTTTTATAATAGAAGTTGTAAGACTACTGCTTTTACAGTAGACTAAGAAGTCTGGCTTTCTATAAAAAACTTACTGTAAAGAAGATTAAATAAAAAATTAGATTAATATTACTACAAATTATTTTATATAATTAAAAAAATAAATAAATAAGCCTACAAATTAGAGCTATCCACAGATCTATAGATTTATAATATTTTTTATATTTTTCTACTATATAAATATTATATAATAAAAGAATTAGATTTATAAGAATATTTCTTATAAAAGAATAGAAGTTTAAATAATTATGAATATTATCCAGAAGTACTGCTAAATTCGCGATACTATAAAGAAACTACAGAAATTCTAATTAAATAAAAAAAATACTATAATAAAAAAATATTTAAAAACCTGCTGTAAATCTATGCTATCTACACTTCTATAAAAAATTTATATTACGGGGGTATAAAAAATTTAAATAAATCTTTAAAAAAAAGCTGAAAACTAAATATATTTTATAAATTATCCGTAATTTTAAATTTTTATAAATCTAATATAAATTACAGTATATATTTGCGATGTACAGCAGCTGGAATATATAAAAATAAAAAATATTATTTTATAAAAAAGTAATACTTATTATTTATATATAAATAGTTATTATACTATTAGCTAATTTTTTTATTAATACAGTCGCAGAATATTTTTTTTAAAAAAAGAATTATAATAATATTTATATATCTAATCGGACGGCGGCTGTCAGCCAGCTCTAATTATAAAAATATTTTTATAAAGCTGGACCCGGACAGCCAGCTGTCTAGAATCTAATTATTTAATATATAATATAAACTGTATAATAGACTTACAGATTCAGACCCGCTCGCGATCCGACAGAGACTGTAAATTTATTTAAAAAAAATCTAATATTTCAGCGGGTGCTGCTGTACTGCAGTCTGAAAATCAGACCGCTGCAGACAGTTTAATAAAAAAAAATATTCTATTTTTTATTATTAGCCCGCTCGCGGGGTGTAGGCTGATTTTATTAAACTTTAGATATACCCGTAAGAAGCAGGAGAGATCTAGGATTTATAAAAACAGAGATAACGGGGGCCGCGACAATATTTACTATAGTAAACTGCTGGACCCGCCCCCTGCGGGTGTATATAGCCACATGGGGGGGGAGAGTGGCGGCGGCAGGGGGCGCGACGGCAAGTGCGGCGGCGGCGGTCGCGGCGGCGGTCGCGGCGGCGGTCGCGGCGGCGGTCGCAGCGGCGGCACCAGCAGGAATGGGAGCAGGAGCGGGGGCCGGTGCAGAAGGCGCGGCAGGGGCATTGGCGGCGGCGGCGGCGGTAGGGGCTTCCTTTTTTAAAGAGGGCAGACTCGCAACGCGCTGGAAGCTGTTAGCTAAGATCTTAACATCCAGCAGAGAACTTATATAATAGAGAATAGAGATACAAAAGCTAATTAGTCCTATAAATATAGAAACAGTACAGTTATTAGCTGTAAATAAAATCAGTCTATTTTTTATAAAAAAAAAAAGAAACCGAATTCTGTAAAAATATATTAAATATTATTATAACTTCGCGGTAATAATAAAAAACAGTATCAGCTAATAAAAATAATATTAGATTATAACAGTAAAACTTACCGCAAGAGTAAAAAAAAAGAAAGAGAATATATATTAAAAAAAAAGATTAGAAATCTGGAGGAGAAAGTCTATTTATATAAAAATAAATCCTACTTCTGTAAGAATAGCTCCGCTAGTCTTCTTTATAAAATATTTTAAAATATCTAAATAAATAAATTAAAAGAGATTAATACTATTTACTGAAGAAGAATATTTTGCAAGAACGACCAGTAGATAGCAGATTATATATCTAATAATTTAATAAATAAAACAGTTGTAAAAAAAATCTATATATTATATTTTATAAAAAAAGAACAGTAAGGCTATCTTTTCTACTACTCTAATTTCCCGCAGAAGGCGTTTATAAAGTAGAAGTTTTAATAGCACCGTTGCAAGCAAGTAAACTATTTTATATAAAAAAAAGAAAAGTTATAAAAGTTTTGCAAGCCCTTTTAATCTTCGCAATTAATATCGTAAAGAAATATATATAAAAAAGAATCTAAGATATCAGTTATATAACAGCTAAGTAAGGCGGCCGCGGAACTATCTAAAATAGTAGTAGTTCTGCAAAGTTAGACAGATTAATAATAATATCTTAAGATATAATACTACCATCTTTAGCTATTGCGATAAGCTATTCGTTCACTACACTATTTCACCCCCCTAGTCCTTATAATTATTTTAAATTAAAAATATTATACTTAAGCTATTTTATATATAATATTAATATTAAAAATAAAAATATTTATAATAATTGTTTATTCTTTTATTAAAGTATATAATTACGGTACTTTGAAAGACATTTAAAAAAATAATACTATATAATTTTAATATAATATAATAAAAAAGAATATAGTGTTTGATTCTGTTTCCGAATCAGTATATTTTAAAAAAATAGAAATTATATTAAAAATTTTTATTTATAGATTAAATAATTTAATATATATTTATAAAAAAGGCTTTGTATTAATACTGCTAAGTCTTATTCAGCTTTTAGATATTTTTAAAGTAAATAATTATATATATATATTATAAATAGATAAGTTTTAAGGCTTCTAATATAGTTAAATATATAAAATTTAAAGAATAGTAAATAGAAGAAATATAAATTTAAAATAATTATAAAATATTATTAATTTTTAAATAATTTTTTTAATAATTATAGTAAAATTTTAAATTAATCTAATTAACGCTCGAGAATATATTACTGTCAGAAAGCTTAGATTAAATATAAAATAATTATTAAAATAGGGCTTAATATTTTTTAAGAATTAGAAAAATAACAGGCACACCGACAAGATAAAAATAAAATAAATAATATTAATAGTATATATTTTATTTAGATTATATAATTAGATTATATAAATTCAGACATACGGATAGAGTAACGGTTACTTTTTTAAATCGACTTTTAGATTAATCCGGGTGTCATGGATAACCCCTGTAACTATGGCGGATTGCCAACGGTGTACCTACGCATTCTCAGCGTAACGGTCGTGACGTCAATGACTCAGACCTAGAGTGGCTAACAGCCAGGTCAGATTAGGTTAATTGGAATTTTTATATCTAACCGTTAGATTATAATCAGATTAAAAAAATTTTTATATCTGACTGCAGTATAGCTAAAAAAGAAATAATTAACTATTTTAATTATTTTTAGTACTAAAATCTGCCTGCTATATCTATTTAAACTCTAATATAATTAAGATATATTTAAATTAAACAGTTATTAATCTGATTATTTTAACTGTTGTTTAAAAGTATATAGAAATAAGCCTTTTAAATCAGAAAAAAATAATTAAAAAAAGTATTAGTATCTTCTTTATTTCTATTTTAAAAAATTAATTAAAAAATTCTAATAATATTAATAAAATTCAGCTTTTTATAAAATTATAGTTCTTACAGTAAGAAATATATATAAAAATATATAATTACAGCTCGGTTTAAGCTGTATATTTTAATTATAATATATAATATTAAAAAAACTATATATTTATTAATAATTAGATTATTAAAAATAAATATATTATTTTTATTCTACTACTCTTCTTCTTACTTCAGCTTAGATAATCTATTATATTCTTATTTTTATTTAAAAAAGCTGAATTATCTATATAATAAATTAAATTTAAAAAAAAACTTATATAATATTATTTATATAATCTTTCTCAGCAACCGTACTTTCCAACAATCATCTTATTAAATATTAGATACTATAAGAATAATCTACTATTTTTATTTTTTTAATCCAGTTAATTTTTTTAATCTATTTAATCTTTTTAATTTTAAATATTCCAGAGATCTGCTATTAATTATACTAATTTTACTTTATTTATTTAATTTAATTAATTTTTTTATATAATAATAATATATATTCCGAAGTCTTTCCATACTTTTCTTTTTTTTCTTTTTTTTATATTTAAAATTCTTATATTTTAGTACTAAATAGATTAGTTTTTAATTATTTAAACAGTTTTTACAAATACTATATCTTTTATAAAAAATTTTATATAAGCTTTTTTCAGATCTTTTTTATAAATATTAAAATAATCTAATTAATCTGATTAATCTAATTAACTGAAATAAATAAGATACAGCAGATACCTTAACTGTATTTAAAATATAATAGATTATATTTATATAAAAATATATTTTAAAATAAAATAAACTATTTTTATAGAATTTTCTATTTTTTTCTTTCTATATCTATTATTTACAGAGTAGTTTTAGAATTATAAATTAATTATAGTTATTTAGCTTATTTTTAAAAGATACTATTAAGTTTTTTTCTTTTATTTTTTAAATATTTATAAATTATAATAATATTTAAACTGAAATAAGCTTTTTTAAGCCAGATCTTTTTTTTTAAAAAATCTTTAAATTACACACGTTGTAAAAAATCGGAAGATTATTTTATATCTAATTTATAAAAAAAATATTTTATTTTTTAGAATTAATAATAAAAAATAATCTTTTTTAAAATCTATATATAAACTTAAAAACCGCTATTTTACTTCGGTTAGAAAAAGATATTAATAATATAAAACAGCTTTTAAAAAAATATATTATTTTTTAATAGAATCTTTTATATCTACTGTATTATCTATCTTTATATTTTATAATATTTAAAAATTAAAAACTTAGAAACTAGTTCTATAAACTATTATTTTTATAAAAATTATAAGAAGAAAATACTATTAGTAGTATTTAAATAAATAATTAGTTAGATACTAAATAAAGGATTATTATAAATATTTATTTATTTTTTTAATATAAATTTTTTTTAATTATTATTTTTTTCTAGATCTCTACAGCCTATAATAAATAAAACTTTCAGAATTAAATTCTATATTTTATAATTATCTATTATTTATTATTCTAAATTATTAAATATATTTAATTTAAATAGATAATTAATCTTACAGCTTTATCTTTCTACCGAAAACTAAATTCTTTTAATTAAATACAGATTAAAAAATATTTTTTAAAATTATTAAAAAATATATATATACAGCTGTTATTAAAATTTTTAGATATTAAAAAATATTAATTACAGTAGACTACTAGACCAGTTTTAATTAAAAAATATTTTTTATTTTAATTAAATATTTTTTAATAAAAGATATAAATTATTATAAAGTTCTACTGGGCTTCTGATTAGTATTTAGATCTTATATTAATAAAAATCTAATTATAATTATTCTATTAGTTTTATATAAATATAATCTATTCTATTAATTATTAGATATAATAATTAATAATATTAATAATAATAGTTTAATATTTAATATAATCTTATCTGAATTTCAGATTCAGTTCAGCTAAAGTATTCAGTTTTATAATATTTTATTTAATTTCGATCTTATAATAATTATTTAAAGCTAGTATTATATATTTTATTTTATTTATATAATTTAATTTATAGTTAATACTCTTCTGCAGAAACTTTAGATTAAGATTTTAAATAATACTATTAAATATATATAAAAAAATTATAATAGAAGTTTTAAAGCCTCTTCTAATATTTTAAAAATTTTTAAAAAGATATATTCTAAAAGCTATTTATAAAAGACTAATATAGAAAATTCCTATTATAGTAGAGACTATTTAAATTAGTCTTTTACAGACGGATTTTAAAGATTTTTTTTTAATAATAGCTAATAATACTAATTTTTAATTATAGATTCAGAAGATTATATAATTTATAAATATAAGTTTTTAATACTGTAAAAAGTTTCAGCTTATTTAATAATTTAAATTAGACTTAGTCTACTATTTTTTTTAACTGCAAAACTTACTGAAATTTAATTTATTTTATAATTTATTAAATATTTAATTTTTATTAAATAATTAATAGTTTTATTCAGTACTGTAATTATAATAATATTAATTATTTTTATTTTATTATAATTAAATAAAAATAAATAAAGTATCTTCTTAAGCTTCTATATTTCTTTTTTCTTTTTATATTATATCTATTTAAAAATAATAGGCCTACTGTTTATAAAGTTTATAATATTTATAATAATCTTTTTAATTATTTAAATTATTTAATTAACCGACTGATAAAAAAGCAGATATTCTAAAAAAAGATTTTTAAAGGCTTGCAGAATATATATTAAAAACTCCGAAAATACTATTATTATATTTATAAAATAAAAACTATATTTATATAATTATAACTATTCTAAATCTGATATTAAAATTTAAAAATTTAAAAAGAATGTCTGGCTGGATAATAATACTAACTGATATTTTAAATACCGAACTGTTTTTAAAAAAATATTTTATTTTTATTATAATTAAAATCTGATTATTAATATATTATTAACTATTTTCGGATTATTATTAGATCTAAATAAAATTTTTTATAATATTTCTAAATACCGAAGACTCTCACCGGCAGCTGAGATATTTAAAAAACTTAAAATATATCTAGATATTAAAAATATATAGCTTATTAAAATATTTTTAATTAAACTAATATTATTTTAAATATTATAAAATATACTAATATTCTTACTTACTAAAAGTCCCGCTGTAATTAGTTTCTTATTTTTTATTAAATAATTAAAGATTTTCTTTCAGTTACTACTAATAGTATTAATATTAAATATTTATTTAATAATTTTTAAAATATCTGCTACTATTATCAGAGCTGTTTTTATTTTAATATAATTAAAATAGTAATACTTCAGATATGTATCGATTGTTTTACTATTAATAAAAAGTACTAAAATATTCTTAATAATCTTAATCCGGATTCGATTATCTTTATATTTAAAAAGTAAAAAGAGAATAAGATAATTACTATCTTTTATATCAGTAAAAATAAAAATATAGATAATTTTAAAGATAATTTAGAAAATAGATTATTATTAAAAATAGAAAAGCTAGCTTTATCTAAATCTTCAAATATTATATATATTTAGATAGAGATAGAGACCCGGTTTTTTTCAATTTCTTTACTATTATAATTATTATTCTAAACAGTATAAAAAATAATATAATCTTATTAGTTTATTTAATATTAAATTTTATATTTTTTATATTAAATTTTATAAATATCTTTTTTTAAAATACAGTATACTCCTCGGAACTACAGAAAAAGAGGTCGAGCAGATCAAACAGATTAAACAGATTAAATAAATTAAATAAATTAAATAAATTAAATAAATTAAATAAATTAAATAAATTAAATAAATTAAATAAATTAAATAAATTAAATAAATTAAATAAATTAAATAAATTAAATAGATTAAATAGATTAAACAGATCAAACAAATCAAATAAATTAAACAGATCGAACAGATAAGCTAAATCTAGATAATATTACTATATTATAATTAAAAGTATATTATACTTTATATATTATTTATATAAAAAGAATATATATATTATTAATTAATCTATAATTATTAATCTATCTGCTATATCTGACCTTTCTGACCGGTAGGTATAAACAGTTAAAGTAATAATTATATCTTAATCTAACTGTAACTGTATAATTAAAATTTTTTTATATCTTAATCTAACCGCCAGGTTATGGTCAGATTAAGGTTAAGGTATAACAGTCAGGTTAATCCACTCTACTCAGACCTTCCTCAGTATTTAACTCCTAGGACCTTGCTAAACCTTCAGGATAGCAAGGATTAGTCTTGAGATGAATAGACTGCTACTATTCTATACCTAACTGACCTATTTTCCCTTTACACCGGGATTTTTTAGAGATTATTTAAAATATATATTTTTATACTTTTTTTTATATTTCCGACTGTTTAGTAAGTAAAAAGCAGTACTAAGTTTGATCTAAAGTAGAAAGAGAAAGTTGCTTGATTTCCGCAGCAATCCAGTTTGTTAGTCGCGCTTTTGTGTGTGGCCGCCTCTCATCGGACGGGTCGACTCGGCGAGCATTTGCTGATAGATCCAGCAGGCTGTTGGACAGGATCGAATGGTAAGAAAGTCCCCAGATACCCAGTGCCATGCAATGGCACTGCACGATGACCGCAGTGAGAAGTTCGTCGGGGGTCTAGAACCAGGATATACCCCATCTTGCCGTCGTGGAGAGTGGGCCCATTTGCTAGTCCTGCTCCGCGGTAGTCAAAAAGAGACCAGGACTCCAGGGCGTGGTGAAATTTGTTCTATTCTTACTTCTTCCGCTTGAATCATAAGTATGGCGTGACCAATAATTGACTCAGGAGACGTTAGTAATGACATGATAGCTGTCATGGTCGGAAGTGACTTCCATAATACTGCAACGCGCAACCCGTCTCCAGGCGTTGATTATAATCCGTGAGTAGAAAGAAAGAAACAGAACGAAGAATAGAAGATTACAAACAAATAAACTGAGAAAGATAAGAGAAATATTGATAGATCAGGCACAAGTTGCAATAGACAGGATATACATGCTCAATCCCTAATCCAGCGTGATGCAGAGATGCTTTACTGATAAATGGGTAGCGATGAAGAAAGCCCTAACCACGTCCATCTTGAATAATGGATCGACTCTCAGTCCCAATCACCCCAATCCACCTATAATACAGTCCACTATCTCCATCTCCAGACACAAAGCTCAATCAAACCCCCAACACCGTCCCATTCTCCCTCCTCACAAACTCCCAAAACACATCCAACTCCGCACTCCTGGCCCCATCGACCACAAACACCGCCGGCTTGCCCAACGGCGCCTGCACCGTCACCGTCTGGCCCGCCCGATACTTCACCCCGGACCACACATGCAGATACGAGCGGCCGCGGACATCCCCTCCAGGCAAATACACCTCCACCTCACGCCGTCCCTCATCCAGCACCGGCGCCACATACAGATCGCTCCCCAGAAAGAAACTCTCGTAGCTGATCTGCCGCGCCCGCACATCCTCCGGATGATACAGCACCGGCATCCTCAGCAGCGGCCATCCCTTCGCCTCGGACTCCGTCCGCAGCACCCGTCTCCGGTACGGCCCCAGCGCCTTGAACATCCTCGCGTTGTACGCGAAATACGCATAGGTGGAGGCATTGCTATAGAACTGCGCATTGACCTGGGGGACGTTACCCTCGTGGGACCGGAAGAACGCACTACTGACGGCGGCGAGTTCGCCCCATCGGCCCAGCAGCTCCGGGGAGCGGGGGATCGCACCCGAGGAATTCTGGGACTGCGGGGGCTCGAAGATGGTGGTGTAACCCCCGATATCCGAGTGGCTGTGCGCGTAGCCCGAGACGCCCATGTGGGCCATGATGGTGACGGCGGATTTGACGCCGTCGTTGCGTGTCCAGGCGATGGCCTGGTCGCCGGCCCAGAAGAGGTTCATGTGGCGGTTGGCGCCCATGGAGGCCGAGCGGTGGAAGGTAACCATCTCCGCCGCGAGGGGGGTGGAGGCCGCCGCGGCGCGCTGGAAGGCCGCCCATTCGCGCGGGTAGCGGTTGTGGTAAGTGAATGCGTCCTCGCCATCAGGCAGATGGGCGAGTCGCGTGTCGGACGTGATCGGCGTGTACTCGCCGAAATCCCACATGCAGCCGGAGATGTTGGCGCTCCAGACCTGGTCGCGGAGCACGGCGGCGAACCACTGCCGCGTGGTCGGGTTGGTCAGGTCCAGGATCCCCGCGTCGATGCCCTTGCCGCTGGAGATGATGGCCGTCGTGTTGGTTGTCGTGTTCTGCACGGTGTAGTGGTGCTGGGTGGCTTCGAGGAAGAGGTTGCGGCGGTAGCCGTCGGATTTGCTGCTCACGTTGGCTAGGAACGGGTTGACGTAGGCGAGCGTGCGCACGTTGTGCTCGCTGCGCAGGTCCTGCACGAACTCGCTCCACGTTGGGTATAGGTCGGTGTCTGGTTCCCAGTTCCACCACAGGCGCGAGATGTTGATGTGGCCGTAGGGGGCGGATTGGAGGTGCGTGCCGGACCTGGGATGGGTGGGGTTGGTGTTGTTAGTGGAATGATCTAGCTTGATAAGTTCGCGAGCAATGTAGACTCACCAGTCTTGCAGCCAAACCGCCGCGACGGGGCAGTCGTGCTGCAGCCCTTCTTCGACGATGCGGTTCACCTTGTCCTGGCCGCCTTGGATGCCCAGGACAGCGCCCTGGTCCACCCATTCGGGCAACGAAGGCATCCGGCCCGTGTACTCAGTGAGCATGGTGATGCCCTCCAGCATGTTGTCGGCCTTCATGAAGTGCCCATGCACGGTGAGGGCGTCGTAGCGGACCGTGACGCTGTCGGGGTCGCGGAAGTCAAAGGTCGCGTACGCGCTGTCGTCCTCCAACAGGTAGAAGACGTGGCCGTCGGAGCTGATGTACTGGGGGATTGCAGTGTAGGTGGTGTAGCGGTCGCCTCCGCGGAAGAAACTCTGCGAGTCCTCGATGGCTGTGTAGGGCTGGTCCCCGCGGCCGACCCCCTGCTCACGGGAGAAGATCGGGATGGTCTGGTTCTTCATCGAAGCGAAGGAGGCCTGGGCTCCCAGGCCATAGAAGTCCTCCGAGGGGTGCGAGCCGAAGGTGAGGTAGAGTCGCTCCATGGGCGCACTGGCATCGCGGCCTGCATCGACGTTCACCTCGAAGGCGACGCGGTCGGACAAATTAGCCGGAACCCAGAAGCTGCTCGAGTATGCGATATCTTGGTTGCTGCAATTAAGTAGGTAGCCTTGTATCGTCACACCATGGCCCAGACTGTCCGGACGAGTCGACCGCGCGACATCGGTGACGTTCTGGCCCTGGCAGCGGCCCTGATCGACATTGGTAATCTTGAAGTTTCCACTCGAGTCGACAATCTGATCCTTCCCGGCGCTGGCACTAAGGAAGCTTTGACCGGGCACCGTGCTGAGGACGGTCTGGTTGTTTTGGAGGAAGGACACCTGGTGCAGGTCGGGCTGCCAGGCGAGCTCGAATCCGTTGCCCAGAGACCAGATGGAGCGAGCTTGTCCTAGCGACAAGGAGGTCGCAAGAACGGCCAATGCGCCGAGATGAGAGCGCGGCATGCTGTGGCCTTGTTTTGGTCTTCAGCATTGTCTCGAGGGTTGTCCGGCATTTTATAGCTTCAGGCCGTCGGGATTCGAGGAGTGAAAATTCGCGTGGGACGAAGCATTTGCCGACATGGTTTGATCGGTGGGGCAGTGAGGCCTCAAGTGTGGTTTGAAGGGCATTGTGTATATCACGCAGAGGAGAAATGCTCGTGGACAGTCCTATTCTGAGGGCAAGGTAGCATTCACATCGAATCTCTGCTCGGATGACTTTCCTCACCCGCAACCGCACCGTCATCGCAGCCGGCAGCCAAGGTCAGCACTGGGATAGGCAGTGGACCCCGTCGGCAAACAGACCGAAAGATTTGGGCAGGGTGAGAGGCCGTTGGCTGCAGTCGAATGGGATCGGAAGATTTCGTGAAGGGTTTGGGGGAAAGTGACGATACTTGCCGGATAGAGTGGCGGTTCCCCACTGTTTCTGGGGAATCCGGAGAGATGGTCTCCACCGGGGTTCGACTTCTCGGGTCGAAGTTGGGCGTTGGATTCGCTATACTTGGCTCGGTCGCTTAGCTTGCTTGGACTTTTGATTAAGGCTGAGCAGGTGAGGACAGCCACTGCCGTCATTGGTATGGTTGCTTTCTATGTTTGTGTGAATTTGAGGGGTTTGGGTTGTCTTGGAAATATATTCCCGGGTAGTGATGCTTTATCTGTCATCCACGATTCTCCAACAGCATGAGATTACACATGTAAACGGGCAATTCAGCCTAGAAACACCGGCGAGGCATCATAGAAGTGTAAGTGCGATGCAGGACTATTGAATAAAAATCCCAAGAAACAACCAGTGGCCGAGTTTGTGGATCGTTTGAGTAAAGAGGTTTGAGATGGCTGCACGTAAAACAAAGCATAGGATATATTGCATAGTAGTGACGTTATCTTCAACAATGGCCGGGTGGCGCAATGGTAGCGCGCTGCCTTCCGGTTGAGGATGTGGCAGTGGTTGCGCGTTCGAGTCGCGTCTCGGTCGTTTCTTTTTTTACCTCATTTTTATGCTCTTCCTCACCTCCCTTCCTTTCCTCACGGAGTTCTTCCTGTTGAAACACAAACACACACACACACCAGGTCAGATACAACCGATAATTAACTGCTTGGATTCGGAAATGTACTGTCTTATATCTGCATTCAATCGACGTCAATATGTTATCCACCACCCATTCTCTTCTCTGTCGAACCCCGCAACCCTCACACCTCCCCCAAAACAAGCTCAGTAGCCTAGCACTCAGTCAGTCAACAAGTCAACATCACCAACGGCATCAAGAGAAAGTAACATACCCTCTCCGCAACCCCATACATAGGCGCCTGATAGTGCGCCGCCAGCGGGATCGGAATGACTCCCGCATCGACCACCCGCAGCCCCTCGACCCCGAACACCCTACAATCCCCATCCACCACCTGTCCCATGGCACAAGTCCCTGACGGATGGAAGACGGTACCCGCGCCCATGCGCCGGGCGCGACTCTCAATCGCCTCATCCGACCAATCCCCGCGGAGAGCGTCCTTGACCCCCCACTCCACGGCATTCAGCCCCTCGACCGCCTGGATCGCGCGCGCACAGCTCCGCACGCACTCGTATAGCGCCGAGCGGTCGACGGGCGAGTCGAGCAGGTTGGGATCCAGGATGGGCGGGTCGGCGGGATCGGCGGAGCGCAGGGTGACGGTGCCACGCGAGACCGGGTCCACGAGGATGTGAGCGATGCTGAAGACGCCTTTGCCGGGCCAGCCGGGCGCGAGGGGGGTGCGGGTGCATGTGTCGACGGAGGTGTAGCTGTTCGCAGACTGTCAGTGAATGCTTTAGTGAAGTGACCTGAAGGCGCTTACACTGTGAACGCCTCGACCTGCAGCTTGCCTTCTGCCGAGTAACGCTGGTACTGGTCCGCAGGGAGGATTTGTCGGGCCAGCTCGCGGGTGCCCTGGTCGGCGGGCGCGAAGGAGATCCAGTCGTAGGGCAGCCCCGCGGTCCAGTCAAGATCGGGCCCCTGCATCTCACCATCGCCCAGGACCGCGTTCGGGAGGTCGATGGCCCAGTAGGTGAAGATGGCGGGATGGTCGGCGTAGTTGCGTCCGACGGGGAGGTCGACGATCGGGGTGATCGGGTGCCGTGCCAGCTCCGCGGCCGGGCCGATGCCACTGCACGTACAGTACATCCCGTTAGCATGCCCTAACTTGTATCTTGGGATAACTTATGGTCATGACACCAGATGACTGGGTGGCCCCACCTCAGAAGCAGGATCTTGGGCGAGCTCTGCGCGCCCGCAGAGAGAATGACTTCTTTGCTTGCCTCGACGTAGATGCGCTCACGCGTATCGGTATCGCCCACAGACCGCAGGACGACCACGCCTTTCGCCGCGCCCTGTTCCACGACCACCTTCTCTACTAGAGACCGGGTCCACAGCGTGACATTCTCCCCGAGCACGTAGCCAGCAGCATAGCTCCTCAGCCCCTCATATGTGGAGTTGAATGCCTCCGTGTATCCCTCGGGGTAGCCCCCGTTGATATCGAGCGCGTGCTGGCACCCGCGCAGCTCGTGGAACCGTCGACTCTTCTCGCGGAGGGGATAGTTGCGCGGCTTGCCGCTGTTCGTCGCATGGCTGACCTGCGGCCGATCAGCATTATTCACCATCACCTTTCCCTCAATCTCCCACAGGTCACGAACGGACCTTGATTGGACCATCGTGGCCATGCAGATCCGTAGTGGGAAGCCCGCGCTCCCGCAGTTCCGCCGAGGGGAACCAGGTCTCCGACTTCTTGAAGTACGGCAGGAGACTGCTCCACGACCATCGCGGGTCTTGCACTAGCTCGGCCCATTGATCGCTACCCGGTACCTGGAGTTAGTATTTTATCCGTGAAGAACTGTACAGAGGAAAGTGGGGGTGGGGGGTGCGGTAGTACTAATCAACGGCCGGCCCCCGCGTGAAGGTCTGATAATTTACCGCGGAGCCGCCGCCCACGATCTTGCCGGACGTGAGATTGACGACCTCGCCTCCGAACCCCCGGGCCTGGGGCACCGACCGGTAGTTCCACTCGAGGGTCGAGTCGAAGCCCCCCATGATGCCCAGGGTGGGGAGCACGCGGTCGTCCTTGTCGACCCCGGCCTCGAGGAGGAGGATGCGGAGGTGGGGGCGCGCGTGGGAGATGCGACTCGCGAGGACGCAGCCTGCAAATTGATTCAGTCTGTGATCTTCGATTCAAAGTTGGGGAGGGGTTTTACCAGCGACACCCGCTCCGACGATAACAAGGTCAAAGGAGAGTTTAGGGATTTCGGGATCCATGATGAGACTTGCTTGCTAGTTCAAAGTACTTTGCAGGCGAAGGAGTGTGCCTGATGGCAATGGCTGTCACCTTTATATCTATTCTCGTGAGATTGATAAATATACCGGTGATGAGAAAGTGGCTGCGACGCATCCATGGGTTGCAGTCAAGCTGACGGGAGGAGCAGAGCGTATCTCGTTCTTTCCATGGGTTTGCGGGTTAGCATGCGGATTGCCCCGCATCGGCATCAGCATCATCCTTGCCCCGCAGCAAACCTTCGTGTCAGCATTGCTGGACAAGAATTTGAACTCAAAACATGATTATTCATGCAGACTGTGACAGACAGTCTTACTTCCGCTTTCGTGACTCTAACTTCGGCTGTGAGCCCTGTCAGCGGTCGTTCTTTGTCTGACATACGCCGGGTTCGGATCAGCCGGAGGCGCCCGCACAAGGTTGGCGGGAGATGTTGCCAAAGGCAGAGGTGCGATCTACTTGTAGCTCGCTCTGGTGTTCCAGTGCAGAGATCTAGACCTTGCCTACATTGCCTATCGCATCATCCCATTGTTCGTGAACCAGGCATCAGGGTGGATGTAGAGACAGCCCATCTGGAATTGACTTTGGTGCAAATCATGTGCAACTCCGAAATCGGAGAATATGCATCTGGCAACGACAGGCAGGATTGTAGCATTCACTATCCCTATCATACTTCCCTCCACCCTTATTCTCATTCCCCATCAGCTCATTTACCTGTCTGTAGCTCACCAGCAGATTCTACGCTGTACTAGCGCCAACATGACCAACAGGATGACTTCATTACCTTCGCAAAAATCTCTTCCCTTGACTACCGAAGAAGCTTAACCATCCTTACTAGGGTCAAGACAGCTGGGCCTGGAGCAGCACTACCCCCAAGCTAAAAGCGAATGCTATTTGGTATAGAACCCAGGCCGGACATCTCCATGAAACAGATGCACTCCCAATCTTCCTCAGCCACTTAAGATCACCACCTACTATCAACATCCCTGATCCCCCTCTACCACCCCCGCCAGAAACACCCCCAATCACCACCCCACACTCAACCATCCAGAACCATCTATCTACTCCTCACACCCAAAACTCCCCGCCAAATCCAAACCCCCCTCCCCATCCCACCGCAACACCCCCGGCCACAAACACAACTCCCTGGTAACCCTTCTCCCGTCCCCCTTTACCTCCGCAAACAACGTCTCCGGCTCAACCGCATCCTCGACCCAACGCACCAGCGTCCCCAACGCATCCACAGGCACAGGCCCATACCCGACGCCGAGATACCCGCCACAGTGGCCGGCCCCAGGAGCTAGAAACAGCCGAAAGAAATCCTCCACCTCGATATTCTCCTTGCCGTCAAACGCCTCCCCCACCATCTCCCGGTACTTGATCGTGCCCGCCGGCGGCACGATCTCATCCGCTAACCCATGCCACGCCAGCAGCTTCCCGCCCGCCTGCTGGAAGCCCTCGAGCCCCAGCTGCTCTTTGCACAGGAGGTCGCCGAACTGCTCCCGCGAGGCGTGCACCGCATCCACGAATTCGGGGATGGTGAGGCTGGAGATGTTGTAGGTGGGGTTTTTGAGGAGGAAGTTGCGTAGCCAGCTGACGGCGGGGAGGAAGGGGTTTATTCGTGTTGCTGTTGTTGTTGTTGGGTGGGTTTCGTTAGTGGTGGAGGTGGTGGTGGTGGTGGTGATAGTATCGGCGGTGCCGCGGAAGGATGCCCCGGGCGGGAGGCCGTACCAGAGGGTGTCGCCGGTGGCCGGGTCGACGGGGCCCTCCAGGATCGCCTGCACGAGGGTGGCATGCTGCTCGGTGATTGTGACGGTCGTGTTGGTCTCGGCGCAGGGGATCGTCGTGTTCACGAATCCGCTCGCGTCGAAGGGACAGTCGGCGGCGCTGGAGATCAGCCCGTCCGCCGCCCCGTCCAGCGCGTCACACGCCTCGATGATACTCCGCTGGAATGCGGAGAACACGCACTGCGGCGACGGCTGCGGCGAGGCCGAGGAGGCGTTCAGCATCAGCGCCGGCGGCCAGAACAGCCACGCGAACAGCTCGGGGAGGTTGATCCCGGGGCTCGCGGCCAGGATCCCGTCGTAGTCCTCGGGGTAGAGCGCGGCGGCGACGAACCCCTGTCGGGCGCCGGTGGAGCAGCCGTGCCAGTAGGAGAAGCGCGGCGCGGTGCCGTAGAACGCGGTGGTGAGGGCCTTGCCCAGCACGGCCAGGTCGTGGACGGAGCGGTGGGCGTAGTTGGTCAGCAGCGCCGTGTTGAGCGTGCCGTCCGCACGTAACCCCCACTGCCCCGTCTGCGGGTCGATCGTGCCGTTCAGCGTCAATCCCCCCTCTGTGGCCCCCGCCGCGTAGCCCTGGATCACAGCCGCGGGCTGCGCGTACCCGATGTAGCCGGTGGCCAGACCGCCGCCGCCTGTCGCCAGGAAGCGGCCGTTCCAGGCGGAGGGGAACGGTAACCAGACAGAGAGCTGGACCAGGTCGGACTCGTTGGCGTGGGTGAGGGTGACCGTCACATCGCAGAAGTCGAGCTTCTGGCCTTGGGTGTAGGGGGACTGGTAATTGTGGACTTCGCGGCTGGAGAGAGAGAGAATCTTGATGTCGGGGATGCCGCTGGCCTTTAGAGTGAGAGCTCCGCAAGGTTGTGGCTGGGGGCAACGGCGAAGTGTGGATGCCTGGGTGAGAAGGTGCACGATGCGAGAGAGCAACATGGCTGTTGTGGGGTAGAGGTTGCGTGTGTAGGTGGCTTGATCGATTTCTAAATCATGATTTTAGCGGTATGCATATAATATAGTCATTCTGGTGGTAAGAACTGTACCTGAAGAGCGGAAGGTTTGAACCCTGGGTACTTCAACCAATATTCCCTTGATTCCAGGTGGTGAGAACAGTCCCAGTCCTCTGCTCAGTTCTAGTGGTAAAAATGAAGTTCCACGCTGTTAGAATCTTGTTCACAGATGTTGAGAAAACAGAAAAACAGTTGTTGAGGAGAAGCTAAACAAAGTTTGCTTCAGCAGAGGACAACAAAGGAATGGACCAGGGGTGAAAGTGAATACTCACCGATCCGCACGGAGCCAGACGGGAAACATCCGTGGATCCCCCAACAGCCTTCCTGGCTGCCGTGGGTTGTGCCCATGTGATTCTGTCTTCCTTGGTTAATTTCCAGTGGGCTCCCGCGTCATGCACCTCGTTGCGGCTACTTTTGCTGGTGGCTGTGCTGATAGCATCTTCAAGTCCTTTACTGAGCAAGAAGACGAGGGTGTAGTCCGCTTTTCTTGAGTTACTCCGTGGAGCACCCACCTCCTAAAGAAATATTGCAGACATGCACCTAGGCGATGTCAAAGTTGCTAGCTTTTACAGCCCTCTGTCCGGCCGCTGGCTTGCCCGAACTTCACGAAGAATGCCATTACTCTCTGCCTCATCTAGCTGCGATGGATCGTAGAAAGAAAAAGAAATTCGTCAGATAAAATACATCGTAATGCTAATAGCACAAATATGCGCGGATTGAAATGGAATACCCATCATTGAAACACCATCAAGCCACTACCAGCAAATGCCCTTGCGCCCCGCTAATACCACTACCCATTGCGCCGAAGTAAACACCAGCCTACCGCATATCCACATGGAAAAGATACCGCTGCCGGATCTGTGCGACATCATACACAATGTACTCGTTGTACATGAGCGACGCCGCATTCCGAACCGCCGCCCCGTGCGCCGTGTCCGGCATCTTGACCCCGGCCAGGTTGGGATGGACGCAGCCCGCGTCCTTCCAGGCTGCGGGGATCGAGCGGCCCCGACCCAGGGTCGCGATTTTGTTCTGCTTCGCGGCGTCCTCGCCCGCGTTGGAGTTGCCGTGCTCCAGCTCGAGCATGGGGTCGCCCAGCTCCGCATCGCACAGCAGCAATAGACCCTTGTTGCCACTGCCGTAGGCGCAGCAGTAGTTGGCCGACTTGGTCGACATATCCGCCAGGTAGACGCCCTTGCCGAACATGTATCCGTTGACGGGGGCTTCGGGGGGCGCGATGCGCAGGCCTTGACTCAGGATACCACCGAAGTTGGTGCTGCGCGATCCGTGCCACAGGAGGCGGCGGTCGCTGTTCTTAATCTTGGCGAAACGGGAGGAGTTGAAGCGGTTGTTCTCGCCTTGGCGCTCAATGCGGAAGATGTTGATGACCTGTGGCGGCGATTAGCTTCGGCTTGATTTCGGTATGGCATGTCTTGAGCTCACCTTGAGGCCCACACTGTGAGATGCACCACGCGAACGAACAAGATAGGTTTCCAGCTCTTGGAACTCTGTTGAGGTACGAACCACTGAATATTGTCAGTAAGAGTCAACTCCTAGCCCGTGTGCTGAACCTACATGGTGTCATCTCATTCATTCCCAAGCCCTGGAACTGGCGATCGAGCTGGTGGATCATCTCCGCGTCCTCCGCGTCCTTCATGATATTGTTCCCAACCTCCATATCCGTCAAGGTCTCCAGCAGCTCAATTTCTCTCTTCAGAAGATCACCCTGGGTGAGAACAGGCGGCCTATTGCGCCCAAAGACGTGAGGGATTGTAGTGAAGTATTTGTTGCTGAGGAACTCCGCAGCGCCCTGAAAACTCATCCCGTACTTGGAGGCTGCCAACGCCGGGTCGGTCACAAGTTCTGACAAATCCTTCAACGCCTGGAAACCTGTTTGAAGCGTACGCTTGCTCAATTTGCCCAGGGGCAGTTTCTTCGCATCGTACGACATGGCAGCCATGGTGGACAAGAAGAATTCCTGGT